AACTTTAATGCTTTTTGTGAGTCTTTATAGTATTAATAGAAAATAAAAATAGATGGTAGAATAATATGAAAACAATTTACCAAACAATGTTGATTATGTTGAGTAATCATTTATTTTCCTTGTTAAATGAAGATCATCTTTCGTATAATATAAGTAAGCGGATCAATATTTAATTAAAATTCTGAAACTTTCACGAGTGGGGATCACCAAGTCACGATAGCCGAAGATGACATAGGAGCACACAGACGATGACCGTCAGAAATTAAAGATAAGTAAAAGGAATTAAAACTCAAAACAGCGAGACAATCAACGAATATTTTCGTATTGTTTGGTGAATTCGAGTAATTTCTTTGAGACAATTTAAAAATTATCTTCTTCGAGTTAAACAAAAAAGACCGTATAATTTTTTTGTTCACTTGGTCCAGCATTTAGTGTCGCTCCAATCACTTGTAATCGCGTTAATGGCGCAAATCTTGATTGATTGCATCGAATTTGTCCTGCAGGTCATAAATAAGTTGTCAACCACCGACTTTGACGATGACATCCACCGACGTTGGTGGCGTTATATACCAACGTCGGTGGTTTCATCCACCGAAGTTGCAGGTGTCATCCACGACGTTGGCGGTGGTATACACCGACTCAGACGATGACACTTACCGACATTGGCGTTGTTTACCCGCCAACGTCGGCGGCGGCATCCACCGATGCTGGTATCCATTAAATTAACCCCAATTAATCCCCCCCCCCTTCCTACGCAATGAAGAAGGAAAAGACAATCGAATTTATACGCGATTTATTTTCAACGCGTTTCTGCAACTCGTTGAATACACCGAGCATTCTTAGAAAACTCAGAATCGTGGGAAATAATGCTCATGGAAAAAACTTTTTCCCTCACAACCGAATAAATAGTGCAAGAAGTTATCGACAATCAACAAATTGTAAACCAAAAAATAGCAGTGTTGCGTAATCTCTGCTATGATTAACGTTGCCGCATCGATATTAACCAGAGCCTTGGAAAATGGATGAAAAATTAAACGACAATGCTATTACCTTTCTGTTGAATAAATTAATAACGAGTTTTCACTCTATGCAACCTCAAGCCCTTACAGTCATAGAGGGCATTCTAACAAACAGATGTGTACACACCCAGTACAGCAATGCACTCGATTATTGAATGCAGCGAGGAGTTGTTGTCAGATTATATTACAATCACCTTATCTGCAGTCCGGAGGAATAACGACGTGCCACTCCCACGACTCGAACCTCGGTCTAGAAGATCTACAGTCAGAGCCTCATAGCAGCGCACTACGACGACATGTATATTACCCAAGAATTTTGTATACCTAATGATAACGATAATGGGCAATCACTACGATTTTCCGTTCTCGATTATGCAGAAAATATTTTTACAGTTTCTTAAAGATATAATATAGTTTTTTTAAAGAAATACAAAGATAAAATGATATACTTTACATATATTGATGAGCCATTTGCTGCATCAGCTGGTTCTTTGCTGCTGCGAAAGCTTTGTTTATATCTCCATTATTCAGGAAAATTTTAGATAATCGCAATTCCTGGTTAGCCTTAATTAAAAAACACAATTTACAATATGGAATCCCATTTTTTTAGATAGTGGTTCCCAAACTGTGATATGTGAGAGATTTCTAGAAAATATTTTCTTTTACCATAATCTTACATATCTAACACTAGGTGCCTGGCAATGATAACAGTTGCCACAAGCCGCCATCCTTGTCCCAGTGACCCACCATTAAATTCTAGCCAGGTATGTAATTGATTCGCTTATATAATAGGTCGAACTAACTTTCAGATGACATTAGTTCATGAAAATGCCGGTTTATGGCAGCAATTTTAATTTATAAACGATGTTTTGAGTGTAAGAACATTGATTTTCAAGTTATGGGAAGTACTGAACAAAGAAATTTCGGAGGAAATGAGTGCATGATACACGTAAATAGGATACAACACGAAAATTTGAAGCCATGAAAATAATTCCGAAATAATCTCGAAGTTCAGAAAATGTGGTATTTATGAGATGATTAGCTGGAGTCCAATCCGTTGAGATGAGAACTTCAGTAATCATCGGTCGTATGAAGCTGGGCCACTTTATGCAGACGATGCTGTTGGGTGCCTTCAGCACAGTGGGAGAGACGGCCTCATTGAGTTTGACGTTGTTGTCAAGAGTGTTACGGAGCCTGTTGAATTCATCGCGGATCTTGAGATGAAACTGCTCGATTGTAATACTTTGAAACCTGGTCTGGTTGCGAGCTTGTCTTATGTGGCAGGGTAAGCGCTGCTCAATGTCGTAGTAATACTCCAATGTGGTCCTCTTTGATTGACCGGAATTCATAATATAGCGTACTTATCTCCGTCAAAATTTCAGTAGGATAAGTAAATTTCAGGCTTCTTAGAACTTGCATATGAATGTTGTTGTTGTTGTTGTGGTTCCCCCGGTCTCATTTTTATACGAGACTCCCAAATGAATGTTGTCACATTCGAAACGTCTATAATAAATTAAAATGCCTTCCTAAAACCTGAATTTTGATCAACCAACGTCACCTGAAGGTTAGTTCGACCCTGAAAATTTAAATCAGTGATAGTTTTGCAGGTGCTGAGAAGCTCGCTCGTGAACATCCGGGAGGCATCTTCCCACTGCCTTCCGCCTAAGGTTTGATGTGCAGTATCTAGCAGCTTGCAGGCGCGGTAGTCTTGGCCAAGCCAACTCTTGTCATTCTCTCAGGAGATTATATAGTCGGCAAGGCGATGATTCTGACAAGGAACTGATTATGATCGGGTGGCCAAGCTGACCCAGAATAACCCTAACCTTACTATGCCGAGCCTGCTGCGGAGGCTGAAGCATACCATAAATTTTGAAAAGATATGTGATCCCCGAATTTTGATAGGATATTACTGTTAAGTTCAGAATTATCTTGTAATTATCGGATAAAATGATGTTAGTCAGTGTGAAATAGATATACGATTTGAATATATTTGTATCGTGAACTTTTTGTAAACGGCTATTGGCGTTTTCTTTGATAATTAATTTCACAAAAAAGTGATATTAACATAACTCACCAATTAAGCGGATACGTTTACGTTATGACTCCGATGATCACCTAAATATGTAGTAGTATTCTGCCGAATATAATAAAGGCCTGCTATACACTTAATTGAATGATGAAAACGAAATTCGGATTCGAATACTGAAAATAGAGCAATATTTTCCTAATGAGTTTATAAAGAATGTTGTTGTTGCCGCGTGTGATAAGATTGACCAAGGCCATATGAACGTTCATTATCAGATAAGTGGTATCAGTGATACCAGTTGCTGATGCAAGGATCGAGCTGGCTCTGAGTTGAGAGTGTTGCACGAAGTTTAATTTTTATTGAACGTAATAGTTCAATAAAAATACCCGAAGATAAATATTTTTGTATTTTACTAGCAGGTTAGTCCGGCCTTTCCCGCTATATTTGAATTCCTTTACCCTGAATGCAGTTATTAACAAATTTCATTTTTAAATTTAAATGAAACATGATCACGTTTCTTTTTATATAATTTACATTTGCCAAAGTAGAAACCACATTTCAAGTTTTAAATCTCTTTTCCTCATTTTTTATTCAATACAATTTCATTACCAGGTAATATTCCGACACGTTGAGTATGCTAGATACGCGTTCGTATTTTCTCGTATCTCGTATACGCGCTCCCTATTAATTTTCGACACCAGGCTTCAAATACATTAACAAAATTTGAAATTTTTACGATGCTTACGTGAGCTTGTTTGCTAGAAGGAGGCGACCGAAATTATGTAAAGGATTTTCGAGTGGGTATCCACAAAATCTCTAATTATAACGTCTCCATAAACTTGAATTCGAGATTTCGGTGGACACCGTATACTCGGGATAAATTTACATGTTAAAATTCACTAGCAGCATTCAAACTACCATATCTTCAATCGCCGTGTATTCGGCTTTGCCCAAAGGCCTTTTATTATAGTTGAGATATATTTTGAGTTAATATCTTATCAAAATCATAAGCTAAAATCTTATAAATTCTTTTTATCTAATCATCTATTCCGATTTTCATCATTGATTCCGATTCCGTCATCTATTCTGAGTTATATCTATTGATTCCGATTTCGCCATCTATACCACGGAGTTATATCTGTAGCCGCCATATATGTGAGTGAATATGTCGTCGCAATTTAACAAACTTGTATCTACGCTACCATTCATTTGACGTGGGGCATAGCCATGTAATTTAAATTTCCGTAGCCGAAGAATGCTACGTTAATCTGCCGATCGCTTTGCCAAACCTAAAAAACATGATTTTAACTTAACGACTTAATGTTTTCTACACTGTTAGAAAAAATTACCGTTAACGGTATTACCGGCGTTTCAGTGGCCGGTCGGCACGTGAAAAGAAACACAGTGTCGCTGTTTTTATTCTAATTTAACACTAGAAATCCGTAAAACATCTGATAAAAACGGCGAAACTGTTTATGTTCACGTGGCGACCGGCCACTAGAATGCCGGTGGGACCGTTTTTTCACCGTTTTTTCTAACAGTGTAACAGCCCCTGTTACTGTCATTGTAGGGAATACCCTTTTTAACTGCTAGGTCGGGTTGATTTTTCACTCGGGTTAACAAGTTACACTTATGAGCTAAAGCGCAGGGTTAACTCGATGCATTCTGTCAATGAGTTTCTCGAACGGCAAATGTTTAGTTGCTGTAATTATGCCCTTGATAAGAGATTGATAGTCAGAACTAATAAGACATAATACAGCAAGTTTGTTAGCTCAAAGAGCCAGTCTCTTGAAAGTAATCGGAGCAGGTGGTGTCTGTTGAGTGGACTTGGCGCCACACTCTTAGAGATCTTGGAGCAGAGTTTGTTGCTTGTTTGTACGTAGATATTTTGTGTTAATATCATGGGACTTAAACAACCTATTATATAAGTAATTAATCTTATATAATATATTGTACAGTTACTGAGCTCACACCATTTTCCATCAACTTCAAATATTCTGTTGATTATCAATGATCATAATTAATATTGCATTGCAAATGCCTTACAAATTTTGCATCAATGATAGGCCTGATATCTAGAAATTAATGGCAACTATCGATTCAAAATTAGATGGATTCTTTGCCAAGTTTCAAAGGCAGTGAAATTGAAAAACTTTGAAAATACAATAGCCTAATTCTACCAAATCTCAGCGATTGTTTCATTCATATGTTTAACACGTAACAGACATTGAAAAAATATCCTAAAGCAGATTAATATTAATTAGATAGGAAATTGATAGTGAGGAACTCTTACTAAGATGTGGGTGGAGATTGTGTTGTTGTTTGTGTTGGTGTTGGTGTACGCGGTGCTGAGGGACAGGCGCCCCCGAACCCTCCCGCCTGGTGAGTCTTATTCACACTCGTTTTTTACAACACTTCTCTTTAACTTTACTTCTTGTTTGTTTGTTTGTCTGTCTGCTACAAATCTTATAATTGATATTTAACACACTTCTTCCGGTCCGATCCATCTGAAATTTTTGCACACCTGCATAAAGTCAGAGACAAAGCATGAATCGGTTGACAGAATAAACAATTTTGAAAATTTACAAAATTTTTATATATTAAAAAAATTTAAAATTAATTTTTTTTCATTTTTGACAATAAAATTAGAAATTCATTGTACATGTGTAACATCAAAGACAATGGATTCTATGGAAGATTTGTCGCTAAAAAGTAATTTTTAAGCGCATATTGTTTCATAGTCAGTTTTATTCATATATGCCCAAGCACCATTTTTTTATCCGACTGCCCATCTTGTGAATCCAAACTTACTTTTGCCAATAATTCTTTTGTGTGTTATTTATTTCGCTCAGGTAAATTTGTCAACTGCTTAATTCGTCAACGATTTCGATTAGAAATGATTGAACAGTTTAAATCCTACTGGAAATACATCGATATTTGGCCTATTTTCACGCCGAAATTCCTGATGCAGCAGGTCCAGTGGAGATCCCATTCTTTGGACGACTTCCGATTCTCGATGAAGAAAGTGCCGAACGCTTACGAAAAAAATACGGTGATATTGTCTCGTATGTGTCGACTATATCTCTCAAATACTACAATTAGTAACATTTTCGTAGTGATTAAAGTCCTTAAGAAATCTTGTATGCAAATTGAATTTCAAATACACATGATGAGAACTCACTGAGTGTCATTGCCTAATCATGATATTTGTATATTCCATTTCCATAATCCAACTATAAATTTCGAAATTTTAACATTGCTAGGAATTTTATAATTATCCATTTTTACTAGATTGAATAACGTGTTTCTCATACTCGTCTGTAGTCTCTGTCATTTTGGCGAAATAATTAACTAATTAGTGATTACGAATCAATGTGAACAGAAGATTCTTACAATATATAACACAAATATTACAGGTATCGCACTGGGCCCATCCGAACGGTGTTCCTGTTCGACTACGACACTGCCAAGGAGGCCATGGCAAAAGTTGAGTTCTCCAACCGCCCCGACTTCTTCTCGTCATTCAGTGTGGACGATCAGAAAATTGGAGGTGAGACTCGAGCACGGTTTTTAATATTTAGATCTTAGTAACCTTCGTTTCATGTTGGACTTCGACACATTTCTGAAATGTACATTTTAGAAATGTGCCGTTCTGTTGTTCATAATTCCATGCATTCATTATTTTATTTTTGATTTAGCTATAAGCCACACAATTCGAAACTCCATCAGATTTTAGATCACATAGAATTTTCATATCTTCTATCCCTATTTTATACTCTATATACATTTATCTGTATCCATTATCTATCGTATATATTTACCTATGCAAACAGATTTTCTATGCTTCTCACTAAATACGGGTATGATTTATGACAATATCGGTCTATATTTGTTTACCAGTTTCAAGAGTACACTCAGTAAATGGTAGATTAAACATTGCATTGAATCTCCTTGCAGGTGTGCTCAGCAGCAACGGCGTACACTGGCAGCACGACCGTCGATTTGTGCTGCGCAATCTCCGCAACCTCGGTGAGATGCGAAAGTATTCTCGAAACGTTGAAAAATTAATAACTGATTTAATCATAAAAATTTCATTTTTAAACAAGAACATCTATTATTTGGATTGGCAAAATTCGCTTGGTGCTTTGCTAAGCGCTTTAAGACCCTAACTAATTAAAACGGGAGTATTTCGGCAAAAAGAGAGATTTTATTTGGATGCAATCTACCATGTGCCTTTAGTTCCTAAACCAGTTTATATTACGATATAATCATTTACATTTTCAGCTCCATAACATTAAGTTGAGTTATTACCTGGTTAGCAGTTATTTTTGAGGCTTCCAACCTGAAATCTTACGAGGTAAAAGGCCGTGGTGGGGTATTAGGCGGGAAGTTCTTTTTTGTTACCCGATAGTTTCGAAGTTTCCTCCAAATTACTCTTTTTCAGGCATGGGTAAAAGTTACCTAGAAGAAGCCATAAACACTGAAGCAATGGCTTTGGTTGAAGACCTCAAGAAGTCCGGCGGTGAAGCCATCAACTTCCCCGACAGCTTCAGGACTGTGGCGCTCAACATCATCTGGCAGATGGTGGCAAGTGAGTGTTAGATATTGATTCATGTGTGGTCTTTAAGGTAACAAAATTATTTCATAGATGAAAATTACTGTAAAATGTTTGCAAGTGAAGATTTTATTTAGCTTTGCTTGTTTCTCAAACAATAGCTTAACTTCGACAATTACATCTTACATTTTCAATCAATGATAAATGAAACACCAAATTTCGTACAGTGACCACTTGTAACCCCCTATATCCTTAACCTATTTTATGATATTTTAATGTATTAGAGACTTCACGAAAATGGTTAGGTAATTTAATTCTCTCATGATTAAGGTTCTCACAAAGAATCGGTCTGGACTGCAACCCATTCAAAGCTATCCTATAAGTCAAAGCTATCCTATAAGCCGCACACATAACATCCAGTACCATTTTATTTCAGGTACTCGGTACGATCTGCGCTCAAGCGAAGTCGAGACCATTTACCGGCTGACCAAAGGATTTCAAGATGACTTCTCAGCGATAGCTTTCTTGCCTTTTTTCTTTCCTGCTTTGAATAGATTGCCAGTGCCAATTAGAAATTTAATTTTGGGGGAGGACAAATTTGGACAATTATTGGAAGAAATGAAAAAAGTAATCAACGTGAGTTCATTTTTCATTCAAAAAGCGTGATCAGGTAATTCGAACAATTTGTATTGTTTCATTAACGGTCTCATTTCGCCAGATTTTGGTCTGTTCCGTCCAAAGGAGTGGGGAATGTGGAATAATAATGAAAATGTAAACTAAATATGTTTTCTAACTAGCAAGCCAAATTATATGATTATGGGCATCCAAAAAGTTAACCGTGAATGGAATCAGAGCGAAAATTTTCAAGCTTGAATCCAAAAACCATTCGCAGCCGTTTATTTGTCCAACGTGACTAATGAAATAAATTAATGATTTCCCCTACTCCGCTATTAGGATGTCGTTGACAAGCACCTGGAGGACTACGACCCCGACAACCCCCGGGACCTCATAGACGAGTACATCAAAGACATGAAGGATAGCGAAGGCGACAACAACTCCCTCTTCAGGAAAGGAGGTGAGTGAGGTAACAAGAGCCTTAATTGCAATGGTTTGTTTCGTGTGTAGAGCTGACAATTCTAAAATTTGTGTTTTCTCGACTCGGCCGTAAAAATCACTGTTTGGTGAATGAGACTCCTTATACTGACATACCCGGTAAATTCATAATTGAAACCCTGGCAATTAATTTAATGAGGTTAATATCGTATTAAGAGCGGAATTCCTGAAGTAGTAGACACGTCCCAACTGACGTCACCACTCATGGGAGGCAAGAGGTCAGCCAAATGCTTATCGAGACGAGTGGAGTAGCGTGGACTGAAAAACAACTTTTTGGAAATTCGCTTCCCGGCTAAGATTTTATTTATGCGGATGTCTACCAAATGAATCCCCTTTAAAGCATGTCGTAAACAAACAATTTCTAGAGTAGCCGCTAAGCCCATGAAAATTGCAAAAAAGCAATTTTAGTGCAACTACTAGTGTAATGTTGAATTTATAAAAGTGAACCCAGATTATCAAGGTGACAATACATAAGAAATATTTATTACTCGATTATAAATCAGAAAACAAGAAATAGCACAAATCAACTGATGACAAGAGGTTTTCTAGCCTAGGAGCGCAGCCGTGCACCACCAATTTTGTGCACCAATAAGTCCTGAATCGAACGCCTTGGATATCTCCGGACATCCACCAATCAGCCGTGAACCACTCGGCTTTGTCCTCCTCCGGCCTTGCATAGAACCTTCCGTGCACCACCAGGCCGCGGATCGAATATAACTTCCGGGCATCGTTGAATTACGTAATTTTACGTTCACCGCATCTAAGGTTAGGTTTCAGATAGCATAGTTCTGTTCCAAAATTTATCGTCCTTCGACAAGTAGCCGTTCGACCGAAGGCTGGTTCGACGCACGGCCTAGATACGGACGGCTTGGTGTTGAAGGCTACGTTCCGGAAGGCAGGAATCATGATGGTCCATTACATCCAGGGCAGTGGTGGTCTTCGGCAGGCGACCCTTCTAGCCTCACGAATCCCTATACCCCACTCCTCCCCCTACACTTACATGGACCGAAGGATTTTACTGTCTCGCATGTCTCTGTGAGTGTGAAAATTGTTTTCTCGGACTCTATTGTAGTCTTGGAATGTTATTTAGTGCATTTAGTCGGATTTCATCATTATTTCGTTCACAGTTTATCAATAAATTTTTCATTTCAGACAGAAATAATATTCTCATTCCATTATGAAATTAAAACCTACATCGGTTTCTAGAACTTCAACAAGCATAACAAGCCAAAATGATGAGAACTCATATTATGAGTCTGCTTGAATCGCAAGTTCACAAGTAATTCAAAAGCTGTCTTCTGAGCTTATATGACGTCTTTGTCTTCTGAGCTAATGACGTATATTGTACACATAAAAAACGATAACCGGTTTGGCAACAACATTGAAAGTGAGACCTTCAGGATAGTTTTACACTACTCTAAGATAAGAGAAGACATTGCATGATACCCTTTGCCATCATGAAGGAGCTGCAAACAGTCTTCGATCTCTGCGGGAAGGATCCCATTCCGTGGCGAGCCCGAGGCCGTTCAACTCTTGCCGATGCAGCTGAGAGTACAGCCGGAGTTTACCTTTAGCGGCTTTCAAGAAGCGACTCTGCTTCGACGCCATTACAGGGATCTATAGGCAAGCAAAAACATCGTGCGTCAGATGGCCCAACTGAGGGCAGATGGGTGGTAGTTATGTGCAGTGCCACTTTTCTATGGCGGCGAGAATGGCCTGCCTAACGGACGGAATATTATAGCAGCGATCTCGCGGGACCCGGGTCTGCTACGTCCAAAACTAGTACCAATGATACAAAAAATGTGTAGATTGGAAGACCCTTAACTGCAATTGATCGATATAAATCCTGCGTTTTGGTTCATTTCAGCTCTGAACCAAATCGTCAACGACCTCTTCTTCGCGGGATCGGACACGGTAAACCAAATGTTGAAGTGGATGGCCTTCCTGCTCGCCCGGTATCCAGAGTACGCAACGAGGATGCAGCAGCAAATAGACGCCGTCGTGCCCAGGGACCGCATGGTGTCGCTCGACGACAAGCCGAAGTAATAAAATTGAAGAAGTGTGCTTAATGTGCTTTTCGGGGATTGTGACTTGCATTGTGTTGGTTAATATCATAGTATCTTCGGTGTTGAAAAATAGGCCTGGGAAGGCGTGTCGCCGTTTTTCTAACTTGCTCCCGTAATTCGCAAAAACTTATCTGCATTATGATATTCGTGGATTAATTTAACTTTTCACTTCCAAAGTCAAAATAAATACAGAGATTATTGTTATTAATGTGATTCTATATTTTTTATTTTTTCTAATCACTCAATCTTCAATTATCCGGATGGGACTTAATCGTCTGCGAAGTTTCGATAAACTAAATTTCATTCGTCTATGACACTTTAACTGTTTACCTGGCGCAGAATTAGTTAATGTGATCACTTCTAAACCTCACACGGTTTTACTGCAAGTTAGCTAATAGTACCTGACTTTCCTCACCTAGCTTGCCCTTGGTCGAGGCATTCACTGTTGAAGCCTTGCGGTACTCATCCATGGTGATCTTAAACGTTGAGAGGACGGCTACCCGCGATACAAACTTCAAGGGCTACCTCATTCCCAAGGTAAAAGTATTCCCAAGCCATAATACAGCTGAATAATGTTCACATTTCACATTATTTCGTTCAATGTCCGTCCGGAGAAACACTATAGAGAAAAATTGTCTGAAGAATTTGAATGCTACCTATATAGTCGGGTATTGTGGCTTCCACTCACGTTATTCAGGGATTTCGTAGAGAGTTTCTGCAGTGGCGTCGTTAGGCCTATTTTGAGGGAGATTCAGCCCTCCGAAAATATTCTCAAGCTCCCTTAAATAATTATATGTTAATTTATTGAATTTATATTTATATATTTTTTGCTAGCCAATTTAATATAATGTGGCCTAAATATAGGTTTAGATAAATAATCATACAACCATGTCATTATTAACTTTGGAGGGAGTTGCCCGCTGTGAGGGAGTTGCAGAAAAGCTAAGTGTTTCATTTCGATCTTAAACAGTCCAGCTCACTTTCTACTCCACAAGCGCCTTCCATAAAGGTTTGAGGATTATATCCATTTGCTTCTAAGTTACCGTTCGATGAATATTAGGTTTTGAGCTAAGCTGCGGTAGATCCGATCAGATTTGCTAGTTCGCTATACCAGTCTAACCCTCAACTTTCATCAGTGAACACAATCTTTGGTACAACTTAGTGAGAATGTGAGAGAATAATAGATGCTTAGATTTCAAGTGATCTGCTACGAGTGATGATTATGAGGCCTTATATAAAATTCTGAAATTGAGGAGGCAACTGGAAAATTTCCGTAGACTGAAGGATCATTCTGCTTAACAAAACTTCGATCATCCTCATTTATATTTTATTTCAGGGAACTACAGTGCAAGTGTGTAACTACTCAGTCCACTACGACCCGCGATACTGGGACGACCCCCACAAGTTCTACCCTGAACGATTCCTGGACGAGAGCGAAACAAAGTACACGGCCCCGAAGAAGGGCTTATTCGCCTTCGGTTCAGGTGACACTGGCGGAATACTCTTAATTTTACTGCAAGAAAGTTTCATAATTCAGGTTCACGTATGATTCTATAAAATTAGATAACTAGGCTATTGATCGTATATACTATATAGGTATTAAAATCACTTGAGTGCTTAAATCGCAAGTTTATCTAGAATTTAAACAAAGAAAATAGCCAGCAAATTTACCATTTCTTATAATTTAGAACATTACAGAGTCTAGCTCCATCGTCAGTTCAAACCAAAATCACAGGTACAAACAATTGGCAAATAAATTCAAATTGAAGCATAAATCGTAGAATGGAAACAAGAGGAATGAAGTAAATATGAGCGAATAAACCTATCTGTTTACAATTTAGCGGGGATATGAACTGTTGGCGGCATTTTAACTAGGCGGTTGTTTAAAAATATAAAGGAACTCTAAAATCAGCACGTCACAAACATCTGTTGTAGAGGCTAAAATTCGGAAATCACTATCGGACACTGGCACGTTGCACTGCTCGACATGAACGCGTACTGCTGAACGAGTGGAAATCGCAAGCAGGTTTTCTGTTCTAAAACTCCTTCCCTTGTGCTCCGCTAGTCTAGTATAAAAGTTGCGAGATGTCATACCGACATTCGCAAATGCGCACAGCGCACAACTATATTGCTAAATTAGGGACGATCGCATAAAAACAGAGAGTGTATACAATAAAAAACTGATTACGATTATGGGAGTGTATTATATAATGTATTATACAGGGAGTGTATACATTAAAAAGGAACTGATTTTGAAATTATTCAGAACAGAATACATGAACATTTACACTTGGGAGGTATTTAGAGAACAAACATTTCAACTCGTTAGCCAGAGACTCAGAAGTGGAACCAAAGTAAGGAAATGAACAATAAACTGCATTCCTATCGTCACGTTCGGGAATAACCTCACAATATTGCTTAGACAAAAATTTCTTAATTTGAGTACAAAACAATTGCGACGGTAGCCCATTAAGAGGAAACGTACGGCGTAAAAATTCCAATTCAGAGTGCATAGTATTGAGAGTAGAGCATATACGAAAGACACGGTTTATTAACGTTTGAATACCATGAAAGAGGAGCGTCTGGGTGCAAAATCGACTGTATTGGCTTTTCCAGTTTTTAGTCTCATGACGAATTTTCTGGCTATTTTCTTTGCTTTTAAATTCTTGAGCTCAAGTGATTTGCTAGGAAAATATTTTTCGGTAACTCAAGGCGTAATTTTACTTCTTCCATAAATTTTTAAATACTATGAATTAATTATCAAGAAAAAATTATGAACTGACAGGTCGGCGTCAGTGCGTGGGGGAGCTGCTGGCCCGCATGGAGTTGTTCCTCTTCACCGCCGCCCTCATCCAGCACTTCGACGTGCGCCCCCCGCACGGCGTCGACATCACCAAGACAGCCATCGTGAACTTGGGAGGCATTCGCGCTCCTGCAGATGACAAGCTCATCTACCAGCCCAGAAACTGATACATTGACCTTCGTCTGTAATCAGAAGTTGATGCCCGAACTATTTGATATGACATTGACATACGGTGGTGTCTTTCGGGTCGTTAATACCATTCTTAGCCTATTGTCTCGGATACATTTTCTGTTATCGTACATTCGTTTATATTTACCAGTAGCCTTTATGGTAGATTTACTTTCATCTACTCCATTCGCAATTTAAGGCTGCTTTTCACAAGTTGATTCTATCTGGAACACCTGATTTAGCAGGTTTCAAGTTCATGATTGTGCTGGATCCACGAGACCAATCAGTTAACCTCTGTTAGCAGACCCATCAAGCGGCACCAGACTAACCAAACACTGCGAAAACACACAAAAAGTGATCTTAATCCAATTATAATCATTTTATTCAATCAATAAATTATGCTGAGTGAGTTCTATTAATCAAGCTATGGTGTTCAAGTTATTATACTGAAATATTAGTAATTAAGTATTAATATAGATGCAGATGCGTCGTGCAATAAGAGGACAACCACAAGTGACCAACGATTATGTTGCCTGGAACCACATAATGAAGATGACGAAGACGAACGCCACTAAACGAAAAACGAAAAAGTGAAGCTCAAGCGATGTATCGGATGTTATGAAATAAGCGAGTAAAGCTGACGACACGCAGCAGATATCAGCAACAAACGATTCAAGATCGTAGTTGCTACATCATCTGCAATCACCGCTGGTGCATCAGACTGCAATCATTGCCTCTTAAATTTTTTTGGTTCTCTGCTCGTTTTTTTCGTCAAAAATTCACGTAGAAAATTAGAGACTTCGAGGGACAGAAACAAAGAGTGATGCCACAGAAAACATAGTTTTTACTGTAGGAAATCTAATGAAGATGTAATTATATATGAATGACGGTAAACAGCAGAAGATTGAAAGCAGAAGCTTTCAATCTTCTAATTTCATTGATGTTGAAGCACAAGTATGCATTACATGAGTAAAATAATATAACAAGTAATGCTATTTATGGATAAATGCTTTTTTTTAATTTTAGGTTATAATTGGCAATGCATCTATTACCAATTGCGCGATTAGAACGATGTACATGTATAAAAATGTATGTGCACTGAACGATCAAACTCGCGAAGAAGGTAACTATCATAAACTTGTCTTAAGCTCGGCAGTGCGTTAAACATTTTAATGAAAAAATATCCCGGTGGTGCGTTGTTTATTTGCAATAAGCATAAATATCTCAGCAGTGCTCGACTCGTGAGCAGTAAAAAGGAATACTATAGCGGCGTGCGGTTCATCCACAACAAATACAAATATCGATTAGTTGAACGGTTCATCGGAAATGAAGAAAAAATCACGATCATTCAGCTTAGAACTTTAATGCTTTTTGTGATTCTTTAGTATTAATACAAAATAAAACTAAACTATAATGATGTGAAAAAATATTTTGACCAAACAATATTGATTATACTGAGTAATCATTTCTTTTCCTCTTTAACTGGAGATTATCGTTATATTATATAATTATGCGTGTCAAAATTTAATGAAAAATTCTGAAAAATTCAGGAGTGGAGTTCACCAATTCACAATAACTGACAATAACACAGGAGCACACGGAATATGACCGTCAAAAGTTAAAGATCACAAAAACAAATTAAAACTCAAAGCAACGGGACAATCAACGAACATTCCCGTGTTGTTTGGCGAATTCAAGTGATTTATTTGAGACAATTCCAAAATTATCTTATCCAAGATAAACAAAAAAATCTGTTTAATTTGTTTATTCACTTGATCCAGCATTTAGTGTTGCTCCAATCACTGTAATCGCGTTAATTAATGGTTCAAATCATGGCTGGATGTTTGGAATCCGTCCTGCAGGTCATAAATAAGATGTCATCCACCGACGTTGGTGGTGACATCCACGTACCCATAAAAGTATCCATTGAATTGGGGCCATATTTTGTAAACAAATTCGGTTGTTGCTGCCTGCGCCATTCTCGCATGACTCTGCATCATGTGTTATCTCGCAGATAGCTTATCAGGCAGAAAACACTCCACTGAATGAGACTGTATAAACAAGTTATCGGGCCTCATAAGTACCATCATATTAGTAGTGGTTCGATCACTTATAAGCTTGCTGATTTATCGTGACTTCTTCAAACTCGTACACGATAAAAAAAAACAGAATAATAATTATTAATTTCTCGGGTTTTGTACCCTAACGCTGCATTTGCTTCGAAAGTTGCACTGCAACAGGTGGTAACGTTCGTAACGTTGCTCTATTTCAGAAAATTGTGTCTAATTGTTAAGTGTTCGAATATTTGTACAGGTTACCGAGCCATCTTATGGCTAATCTGTTACGTCTAAATCCCATTTCTAACGACTAATATCAATATTGCAAAATGTCAAGAAATATTTAGATCAGCAAAAAAAAATCGACGCAATCGTTCAGAGGCATAAGTAATGCATTCTGTAATTTCAAGCAATACATCACTTCTCGCTAAGTTGCATCAAACGACATATAGATTTAATATATGTTTAGAAACAAATAGATTAAAGATTGCTGAATGTAACTGTGATATTGCAGGATATAAGTCAAGATGTTTTTGGAGATTGTGTTGTTGTTTGTGTTGGTGTTGGTGTACGCGGTGCTGAGGGACAGGCGCCCCCGCAACTGCCCCCCTGGTGAGTTTTACATCGGAAATTCACTTCGTGTTTGATGAATATGAATGAAACAACGTTTGATGAATAATCATAAAACAACTGAAATTTTATTAGAACAAACTCACTTTATGTCTGTTATTCCTCTAATTGTTTATTACAATGGTCGGGCAAGTTCTTGGACTTCATCATTTATTTGAAATGAATGCAATGAATTATTCAAGTGCTCTAAGAGAACCCTTTGATATGTGACGCCGATAACTACGATGGAAACTAATATTGCAGGTCCAGCTGAGATCCCATTTTTTGGACGACTTCCATTTTTCGATGAAGATACGGGCGAAAATCTGCGAAAAACCTACGGTGATATTGTCATGTTAGTATCAACAAACAACTTTTTATACTCGCATAATGATCAGCATTGGGCATCACTATCATAGAGATTAAATTCACGCTTGTCATGTTACCGACTCATGTGAGGGGAATACAATAAGTGTAGAATAACGCATGAATTTACAAATTACGTAAGATTGACGGTATTGCTCGGGCCGAAATTATCATAGGCCCATATGTTTATGTATCGAGCTACGTTAAATAATGATCAATGCAAGTGCAAAAAATAACGGAGTATTTTTAATTTAGACCTTTTTGAGATTATTTCTACGGTTCTCATGAAGTTTATCAATCAGCATTCGAGAATGTGAAAACTGATATGCTGGATTCCATACTTCAAATGTTCGTCATATCTTCATTATGTATTCCTCAACCTCGCAGGTATCGCACTGGGACTATACGCTCGGTGTTTCTGTTCGACTCCGACACCGCCAAGGAGGCCTTGGCAAGACTGGATTTCGCCGACCGCCCAGATTTCTTCACCACTTTCAGCTTGGACGATCAAAAACTTGGAGGTGAACATGATATATGACTTAGTTTGCATAGTTTCGCTTATTATCTTTTTTGTTTCCTACTATACATAAAATTTTCATTCCCAACTTTCGGTGGTCGGTTATATTAATAGGCTGAGTAGCGGAGACGTTACAGATTGAAGGCTGGCATGCATCCTACTTCAGCGCCTGATTATAATAAAAAAAGTTTGGGTTTGTTTCTTATCGTCTCATATATTTTCAGTGTTGGACACTCGGAGTGATTACTCCACCAATTTTACGTTACGTGTTACGTTTCAAGTTCAAGATATTACTTATCGTTTTGTCAGGTTGTCGCCGAGTGGCGCTTGATAGGCTCGTATGAAAAGGTTCTCTTTTGAAAGGTTACGGCAAAAATGGTTCAAAGAGAGGGTTGTAATGAAACACTGATATATTTCATATTAAATTGAGAAATTCAAGTTCACATCCTACGTTTACAAAAATCTCTAGTACTTGAAAAATGTAATCTGAATACAATCAAAAGTCCAAAACCTATCAGTTTACATCACTAAAATCATCTAATTTTACCGGAAAAAGTGTGTGATCCGTTGCAGTTCCAATGCGTACGACAGTTGTAAACGACCGTCACTTGCGCACACGTTTGCGGCCGTAGGTTCAGCGACCGTACCGCAGCTGTAGCCGCGCGTTGCAGCTGCATGTATTCCAAGTGGTCGTACTGCCGCTATAGCCGCGCGTCCTCGCGATCGCTGTTCTTCATAACCGTCGTGTCTTGCTGATTTTGATGCCTCACGGTCAGTCTGGCCGTAGGTTGTTGTACAACAACCGTACGTCAGAATAGTGGCGTAGTCTTCATCGTCGATGATGTTACTTCGGGCTCAATGCGGTGCTTCAGCGGTTGAAGGTGACTGTAACCGCACCGCTTCTTCTATTGCGAATAGTGACCGTCTCGTATTGATGACCGTACTTAAGATAATTCCTGGTGTAGAGCTCGGTGCTTGAAAACTTGAAATTTCTCATTGCCGACATTATAATTGTAGAACGCCTCGTGGCCTCTCGCATTGCCTCACGGCCGAGTAGCAGCCGTACAGTTGATGTCGACCGTACTTTGTAGATTTCAGACATGCATACGGAACTCGTAGCTGCCTCGATAAGTCTAGGTTTCTGGCGACCGTCAATGCTCGAAAATGGCAACACCGCCGGCCTCACGGCCGCGACCGTTACGTTCGCTGACTGCAGACCGTGCTTGCGTGACGGTCACCTCCTAAAGGGCCTTCTAGACGCTCAATATTATTGCGCAATATGGTTTGTACAATATATTGACGGCAGCTCCTAGACGCTCAATATTATTGTTCAATATTTTGGGTTGCGCAATATTACTGAGTGTGTAGGGGCCATATTGATGGGTTGCGCAATATATTGTGCAATTACGCCCCCAGACGTGCAACCGTACTGCGCAAACAGTGCCAGCCAGACTTTCACGTAGCCAACATGTTGAACGATAATGACTTGTGCTGTGTAATAACTGCTGTGTCAGCAAGTCGTAAAAAAAAGTAAGAGAGGCTCGCAAAAAGGTAGAAAATGGTCGAAACAGTGGTTTATCATTATCAACAGAGAGAAGTTCACCCACGAAAAATTACCTAATGAATTGAGAATGATTGAACCTAATGATTTCCGAAATTTTGTACGAATGGATGGGGAACTTTTTGACGAACTCCTTGCTTTGGTACTCCTGCAATCGGTAAAAGCAGCTCTCTCATGCGCGATGCTACTCCTACAACCCAACGTTTGTCCAAAACCCTCCGCTATCTAGCTACTGGGAATAGCTTCGAAGATATGAAATTTCTAACTGCAGTGTCACCTCAGTCCATATCTAACATTGTTATGGAAACTTGCACCGCTCTGATCAACTGCCTCAAAGAATACATTAAGGTAAGTAAGTAATTTTGTCATTTAGTTAGAACCTTTTATTGAAAAAATCACACTACATTAGGAAAAAAAATATGTGGGATTTTTTGGAGAATGAAGTCCATCACGAATTCGGGAAAAAGTGTCTTACTGAAATGTAGCGAAATCGGTATGTACCTAGCTCCTGTGATGAGGTGCCTGCAAGAGTGTTTTGAAGCAATGAAGACATATTGATGGGTATTGCTGGGATATTGACTGTATGGTATTGACTGTATGATGGTATTGACTGTACTTTTCAGTCACTATATCGTACTGTTCAAGCTTCTTAGCACGATTCGCGTAGTCTTGGCACTTGACATCCCATAGAGCTGGGAGACCCCGATACACCTCGATGAATTCCAGCATAAATTCTTTATCAGCTTTCTTCTTCACATTTCTTTCTTTATCACATTTCTTCATCACATCTGCCATGATGTAAACCACGTTGCTAAAATGACGCGTAGATAAGCGTAGAACTGCTCCATACGACCACTGGGGACACACTAACAAAACATTACGCAATATAGCCCCTGTACACGGCACAATATCTTCCAGTTTGCGCAATATACTGTATTTACAAGATTCTGAAAATCACGCAATATATTGCGCTGCTCGTCAATATCGCCCCTAGACGGTCAATAATATTGTGCAAACCTAAATATTGCGCAATAATATTGTGCGTCTAGAGGCCGCTTTAGAACCAACCTTTGGCGTAAATTTTAAGGTCCTTATATAGTCAGCCGTCGCGCACAGTTAAGCCTAGACCCTCGAAGTGACGCCGCATTCCTCGACTGGAATTTCCCTCACGCTGGGCTCGCCAACGCTCGATGTAAACTAACTCCTTCCAACGGTCTCGAAACAACGTCTTGTACACTTGCTAAATCGCTTCGACCCACATTCTTAGAATTCTTAACACCTACGTATAATACATGTTCAATATTACCCATGTTAAATATTACCTACTTTATTAACGCCGATTGGGTTGGTCAAGACGTGCGCCGGGTTTAAATTGGATTTCAATATTACTTCATTTCATGTTATATTCCCATCACAAATGTTTACTTTCATTTTTGTTAGGATATTATAAGTGGAAATAGCAAGTAAGGTGTGACTGCCATCATTCTAATTGATGAAAATACATAATAAAAATGATGCTAGATAATTTAATGGGCTGCCATTTACTTCCACCAGGTGTTATTAGCAGCAACGGTGCGCACTGGCAGCACGACCGCCGTTTTGTGCTACGCAACCTACGCAACCTTGGTAAAATTGAAAATATTTATTATCTCACAAATTTAGAATCATGTACAAAAGAAATGAAATTCAATTCATGAATTTCGTCTCTTTTGTACATGGTACAATATAATTAACTACAGTAATTAACTACAAACACTAATTAAACTCTCATAATGAGTTACCATGTAGAATCTGAATTCGAATCTCATTTGACACGTTCTCAATAATATAAGAATAAATGGTGTAAATTTAACGAAAAAATCACTTGTACTTTAACACATGGAGATAATTTTTGAAAGATATTTGATAAGTGGATAATTTTTCTGCGTAGGAAGAACTTGAGATAGGCTCGATAGGTTGCAGAATGGTTGTCCGCTTCCCCACTTTCATTCAATCTTACCTTCCCGGTCGGAACAAAAAATTACCTTGATCTGTAAGTACTACTCCATTTGTCTCGAACTTTCTCAGGCCCGCGTTTTCTCTAATATTTGGTGTTCGGATATCAGTGAACAGTTCCAATTCTGCTACACGTATACTTTGCTGCCTCATCCTGCACAAATTCGGGATTTATTTTTGCCCAAGTGATGTCATCAAACATAGTTTAAATAAGACAATAAGACAAACCTGCTGGCCAAAATTTACAATTCAATGACGAGAATTTCGAACTGTGTAGTTTTCTTGATTGTATGGCTCGCTGGAGGATAAAGTTAAAGTTATTTTCTTCCTTTTACGCGTGCTGGAGCTAGTAAAATTTTTTTCAAGTCATATTAATGATTTACTTCTTTTCCAGGAATGGGTAAGGATCACCTAGAGGAAGCAATTAATATCGAAGGCAAAGCGCTGGTGGAAGACCTCAAGAAGTACGGTGGTAAAGCCATCAACTTCCCCGACAGCTTCAGGACAGTGGCGCTCAACATCATCTGGCAGATGGTGGCTAGTGAGTCTTTAATTTCTATTTTACTCGAAATTTAGCCAAACTTTTCGTAGATTCCTGGCCCATGAAAGGAGCAAATGATATTTTCAGTTCACTAAGTGTATGACAAGAAGTCTAAACTATCCATGTCTATGATGTCTTGAGGAAGAGTATCAAATTCTGTCTTCTTCACCCTAGTCGCAGGTCTAAGCTGAATTCATATTGATTTATGTCTTCTTTCAGGTACTCGGTACGATCTTCGCTCTAAAGAAGTTGAAATAATTTATCGCCTGACTAATGAATTTCGTGAAAAATTTTCCGTGCTGTCGTTATTACCCGTATTCATTCCGGCATTAGATCATCTACCTAAATACATCAAGAATTTTCTGTTTGGCGACGATATTTTTGATCGCTTCGTGGAAGAAATGAAGAACGTCGTGAACGTGAGTTGATTTTGTTGCTAATAACTGATGACAGTTCAAAGATCATCACTTTCGTGTCATGACGACTTTTCTTTTGACGATCGCAGAAATATTTTCAGGACGACTTTTCTTTGGACGATCGCTGAAATTTGTTTTTGCACTTAAGCCCGAAGTGAATTAACCTAAACATGAAACATTGAACCCGAGAATCCGAGGCATAAATATTTGCATACGTATTCGAGAACTACAACTCATTCGCAACTATTGCCAATGGAGTTTTTCAATGCCATGCAAAATGAATGGATCTTCTTTCCTCTGGCAGGAAGCCGTGGACAAGCATCTGGAGGACTATGACCCCGACAACCCCCGGGACCTCATAGACGAGTACATCAAAGACATGAAGGCGAGCGAAGGCGACGACAACTCTCTTTTCAGGAGGGGAGGTAAAATATTTCAATTTCTGAAATTCTGAATGAACGAGACTCAGATCTGTAAAATTCAAGTTAGAAAAACCATATCATTGAAATTTCGAGCTTTTTAACATATTGAATCTGTCGATCTTGAGATTATTTTTTTACGATTGCTGGCATGCGATTTTGTCCGTTTCAGCTTTGAACCAAATTGTCAACGACCTCTTCGTCGCGGGCTCAGACACAGTGAGCCACATGCTGAAGTGGGTGGCCTACCTGCTCGCCCAGTATCCAGAGTATGCAAAGAAGATGCAGCAGCAAATAGACGACGTCGTGCCTAGGAACCGCATGGTGTCGCTCGATGATAAAAAGAGGTATTCATTTCAGGTAGTTAATACGTTTGGTGCTATTCTGCACTCTTGCCTGCAATGGGAGGGCTGTGTGACATCAGTGAGATAGAAGGAGCCGGATATAAATTTCGTAATTACTTTAAGGTTCACTAATACTGCAAGGTATATCTCTCCAGTCGCAGTCCAGGATTATTTTTACAGGAAGCTTCTACAGGCAAATTTGTTGTTGAACATCTCTAAAAATAAATTATTAAAATTCTCAACTTATAGATCACACATAAAAATTAAAGGTGGCGCTCCGATGGCAATAGGTTGGCGTGGTGGATCATAGGTGGCGTAATGATGGGTGGCCGCGTCTGCCAAAAATCTACTGTAAAATATCAATAAATCGAGAGGGTGATGAGTGCCCAATATCCATCGATGATAGATATTTGGCACCCTATAAATCGTCCCTATATAATAAATCCATATTGGAACCTATAAATCGAAGATTTATAGGTTCTGAATCATCGGCGGTGCGTTGCTGATGAATCTGTTGTAAATTGTAAATCACCAATAACAGTTCGCCCAATCTATGCAGTTAGGTGCGGGTCATTTGAATTCAAAATGAAAACATGACATCGTTCTGTGTGCTTGGCTTTTGGGATTTCGATTCAAGTAAAATTCTCGAAAATTAGGCGGGTCTTGGGTTAGGTACGAGTTAAACTGACGGATGTCGGAGGCATAGCGTTCATCAATTCTCCATGCTGAAGTGAAGCCAAAGGGTACATGCCAGACTGCCTCTGATATAAACTGTCTGAAGGAGCTATGAAAAAAGATCAATTGCCAAAATTTGGTGGGATTTTTTAATGTGCACCAACTTGCTGTGTTTGACCTGTTGCGATTGGTTGGGTCACATTCATTGTATTATTTGGTATAAATTATTTTGATCGGTCAAGCCTATTTATAATATTTATCACTTTCATAAAGTTACTGCAATTATCTAAAGACTCGTTGACGTAGTGGATGGATAGTGTACTTGAGCTTTTACACATTAATACTCGATCACACTTTGTAGTTGTTTCCTCAACATCTGTGCCGTAGCCTGCTTGAAATATGTGATTCTCGGTTGCTTACATTTCAAAATCTTTGCTCATCCTGTCAGATAATTATCTTGCGTTACAGTTTACATCTCTTAGCAAGTGGTTACGGTATCCTTCGTATACAAGAGACAGAGAAAAGTAAAGGATAAAGAAAAGTACTGACACTGGGTGGTGGAAGTATTTCGCTTCTAAGATTTCAATCAAAATCATTGAGTGTTAACAATTCTATTCTTTGAACATTATTCATCTCGATCGAAAATATTAAAATCGAACTCTTTCTCTTTTATAACAGATCTAATGCTCAGAGAAGAAACTACGAATCGTATCATGCATTTACCAGTAGCCGTTTAATTTCGGCACCGAGCAAAAAGTTCATACTTTTCTTCAAGTTTGGTTCTCACGAAGTATGAGCATAGTACTGAGATAATAAGTTCCTGCTGCTTTTCTGACATTGTTGCTCGAACTGCGTATGCGTAATCCAGGGAATGTATGATCGTAGGAAGTAATGTCAGTGAATGTTTAGTATCGGCTCAGAAAATAAAAGGAAAAATTTAACGATAGTAAAAGGAAAGGAAAATAATAAAAAATATAACTCAGTACTCACTGCAGTGAGTGACAGAGAGCGCATTTTCTCGTCGACGAAAACTAGAGGTCACGGACGGACGGACGAACAGACGGACCGACAGACAGACGGCCTTGGCGAGCACAATAGTGTATTTTTTCCATAAATGAGAAAATGCGCTAAAAAGGAAAATAAAAAAGGAAAAATAAAAGGAAACATTTCAGTGGTGGCCACCGATGCGTCATCGGTACCCCATCGGTGCCATTGTTGGTTACTGGTGGAAGATGAATTTTTCGGCCAGAGTGCCAGCGGCAGTTATTAGGAGGAACATAGGCCGGACACGCCATCGATGCGCCATCAGTGCTCCACCTACAACTTCCACCTAAAGCTTCCAATATTCATCGGTGCTCCACCAACAATTTCCATTTTGTATGATTCTCTATTGAATTGATTGATCCTTTTTGGTAAGTAAAATTTTTTATCAACTCAGAATTTGCATCGAGTGATATTCTCACACATACGAATTTGAAACCAACCTTGCGTAATGACACCTCCTTTTCCGTATCTAGCTTGCCATTGGTAGAAGCATTCACCGTAGAAGCTTTGCGGTATTCGTCCATGGTGGTGTACAACGTTCAGAGGTCGGCTCATCGAGATGCAACCATCAACGGCTACTTCATCCCCAAGGTTAGCCTTCTAATAACCTAAGATATAGACATGAATCTTATATAACATCGTAGCATTATTTTAACAGTTTAAACCGTTCTTTTCGCAGACAAATGCTGTTTTTTCCAATATGCTTCCAATATCGAATTGATCTTTTTCAAAAATCTTCAATGTCAGGTTTGACTCCTTCAGGCCAGCTTCACAGGGTTACAAACGTCGTTGCAAACTATTACAATTTCGTTGCCATGGTTCTCAACTTCTTTTACCTGAGTATTTGAGTTCAGAATCAGACTCCTATGCTGTGTACCCAAATTTTAAAAATTGGTAACGCACAGGCTATCGCCCAGGAGTCGCTACACTCGGCTTGGAGTTCATCTGGGTCTGCTTCGACAAATGAACGAAATCAGCTTCTAGTCAGACTCTTCTTTCCGATTTTATGGTGGCCTGAGCGTAAGAGAAGAGTTGGTTGAAGCCTAGTCATGGAGCTTACAAGCTGCTAAAAAGCTGCACTTCAAGCCAGCTGAAGTTGACGTAAAGCGACTGATTAACGCTTTCTCCGAATGCGGAGACTGCTTAAATTACAGTTTATTCTTTCAAATGATACAAGAGAAGCGTGCAACAACTCATTCAGTACATTTGAAAACAACGTTTAACGATCTCTGTTCTGTTTAAACTAAATCCTCCACCCAAAACTTGGGTGTTACGTGGTCTGGTCCGGATGAACGTGAAGCAGTCTTGATCTCACGATTTGGAAGACGCTAACTCATCGTCTAGCGAAGAGAACGTCTGAAGGAAAGCTCATCGTGTCCCTAATCTTATTGACTGCATTTACGCGACACCTTACAGAAGATAATGATTTTTTAATCGGATTTCAGGGCACTGTGGTTCAGGTCGCCAACTATTCTATCCACCACGACCCGCGGTACTGGGACCACCCCCACAAGTTCTACCCTGAACGATTCCTGGACGACAGCGCCACCAAGTACACTGCTCCTAACATCGGCTTCTTTGCTTTCGGTTCAGGTGAGGATTTGTTACCCTTAGATATGGGTAATATTTTACTGCCAAACTAATTTTATAATCCTGGTGTGTGCATACTATCATAATTCAGATTTGTTTACACTAGTGAGACAACGAATTCCACGTTTGATGATCAGGACAACTAGCGCTCAAAAAATTTGCTTAAATTTGATTCTGCTATAACGCATGCAAGTTTCATGCCAAAAACTGTCGACTTCACATTTATAGATTTGTGGGACCGATGACTTTGGTTTTCAAAAAAAAATCTGTTTCGTGTTGCCACTTTACAACTGAAATCATTCCAAAAGTTTTATAGTTGAAAACAGTTCTACAACAACCTTTCGAAATTTCATTGATATTCCTCATTTGTTACTTTGAATTTTTAAATACTGGAATTATTTGAACTAAGCAAAGTGCATCCTCTAGGTCGGCGCCAGTGCGCTGGTGAGCTGCTGGCCCGCATGGAGTTGTTCCTCTTCACCGCCGCCATCATCCAGCACTTCGACGTCATTCCTCCAAAGGGCGTGGTCCTCAGCCAAAAAGATATACTGAATTTGGGAGGCCTTCGCACGCCGGCAGACAATAAGCTAATCTACAGACCAAGAAACTAACATTTACACAAACCTCTGCCTAGCCAACTTTGTTTGGTACAGACATCGCAGTAAATGAATCGCTCGAAAAAAATTAGCATTTGAGAAAAAAAGACAACTCTGTCGTCTCTGTATAAAGTTACACCATGTGGAAGCTATGACCGCAAATTTCAAATGCGCGAATTTTTCTGATCCAATGAATAATTCTAAAATATCGTACTGTAGAATATTTCTTTAGATAACACTCAATTATGCACCATGAAGAGGCTCGTGGTAGACCTGATACAGAGTGAATGAAACGTTCCAATTAAGAAGATTTTTGACATCTAAATAAAGCATAATAGGTGTAATGTTCAAACTGAAAAATGTGCTAAGAGCCGCTTTAGTGTTGGTAATTTCCTTGCTGCAGAGGCCTAGGTTGATTATTAATTAGATATTACAGGTTTGGAGTATTGATTAGATTTAACTGGTTTTATAAATAATTGGATTTAACGGGGTTTGGTTATTAATTAGAGTTAATGAATTTTTTAAGTTTTTTGCGTACAAAGTGCGCGTTTTAACTGCGATTTGTGTTTGGGAGATAGTTTTAGAAAGAAAAGGAACCCTGTTGCATGCGGTCATGCGCACCAGAGATCATTATAATATTGAATGAGAGAGAAGATTAAGCCTCTGTCTTCGCCATAACTATTGTTGCTCTGTCGGTAATTATTGTCAAGTTTGATTACACGAAGAGTGTAATCAAACTTTACGATCAAGTTTTACGTGGTGTAATATAGGTGTACTAGCAACATATACGTTCATGACTTCTTCGTGGCGCTGTCTATTAAATTGTGTCTTGACCTCAGAAGGCTTTTATTCCCGTGGACAGTTCATGCAAACCTGGTGGACCCCCGAGCAATACCTTTTTGATTCCTATATCAATTAAGCTTACCAATGTTCCTCCGTGAAAATACATAACGTACATTTTTTATAGAAGTACTTAAGGCACGTAAGCGTCCCACGCAGAGCCAAAAAAATCCTTAATGTTGGTCGCATAACTTCTAATCCAAGGCGCAGTACAAAAAAAAATAATTCTTTAATTGTAAATTTGGAAATAAAAAGGCAAGCGAATCGTTGAAGGGAAGTTGATGAATGGTAGATGTTTATATTAGTTTGTTATCGTTAAATTTATGACCACATTATGCGGCAATCTGACATAGAATTTAAGTCTGAGTTGCTAGGGACTAAAACATATTCATTGGGAGCAGATGCTAAGGTAGCGCTATTATTTACCTCGTCTCTCTTATTATTCTGTATTACGTTATTCTCATTTGTGGGCTCAACTTGTCCTATTCCTCCAAGTTTACTGATTGATCACTTATCGTGGTTTGTCCCTTATTATTTTATCAAAATCTATTCTTCTTTTTCATATTAATTGAATTTCTCTTATTTCTTAATTAATAAATTGCTTTAATTTATTAATTTAATTTAATTCCCCTGAAAAAGAATAACATCATCAAGTGACTCGGGCTGCAGATGCCAGTTGAGGAATCGTAACAGCTGTTTTATTTGAATTAATTAATTAATTAACAGCAAAGTGGAATAAGCTTTGTATATGACGTAATGGGTTATATGACAACTCGTGTTCGGTAAAGATCCAAGATGTGGGAAATGAGAAAAATATTCGAGGAAAATTCAGCATTTGCACTGAATTCATTCACCCGTATATACCCCGCAGCCTTGCAGATCATGCTTGTCATCCTCAAGCGTTGGCGGTAGCCCCGAAGCCCGTAATCCTTCAGTGTGCGTCAGGCGCTTCATGCGGAAGGTTGTGTTTAGCGCTCCGCGCGCAAAATTTGTCGATGGGTTCCTATTAGTATAAACTGTGCCGTGTTTCTGTTACCTCTAATTCACTCGTACATCAAGCAGAACTGCTTTGACTCGGTAATAATGTGTTTGTATGAGGTATTTCGAATAAATACTCTTCGTGTAGTCAAGTTATTCTTGTCCAGGACCGTATTATAGCAACTGATTGAAATAGTGTCCGAGGGATGGGTCCCCTATTATGTAACATTATCAATAAACTTTTTGATGCGTTGCACGTGACATATTAATACAAATATAGTGAATTTTTTGGATCCACAATATCATGTTGCGCTCGTGTAAGATGCGGCGGTAAGAATGCCATGACTTGGATGAAGGCCAAGGTGTGAATTGTACGTTTATGAAATCTCTTACCTATGTATTGAACCTTCTCTTCAACATTATATATACTTAAAAGTATATTATAAAGGAAAATATAAGCTCAAATATATCTCTCTCAGTGCATTGAAAATCTATTGAAATGAAGGCGGAGATATGGATCATGTGAAAAATGGTCAACCCTTAATGCATTTCGAAACAATATCGTGAAAAACATGCATGCAAAACCTGAATTAATGTTATAAACGTATGATTACCCGGACATAATGCAGACATAAATGTAAGTGATCTGCTTCTTATCCATGTAGTTAAGCATCATGGACTACATATTAAACGGTGTCTTTTTATTGTTTTATGCTCTGAGACTTATTCATACAGTATGTCTCAATTTTAAAGAAGCATGGAGTTATTTGATGCGGTAGACAGAATACAAATTGATATCGATAAATAAAATCACTATCTTCCTTATGGCTCACCATGCACATAGACGAATGCGTGATAAAATCTTACGTAACTTCGATAAAGTGCACTTATAGTCGGTGTGCGTTGTGCTATCAATAATTAAAATTAAAATTTTATAGCTAATCTAATGTTATTGCAATCTATTAGAGAAACTTTTCTTCTTTTCAAACATGTTAATTATTTTCCCTCTAATTGTGCCTTGAGTCTTCATATAAATTCTAAATGAATGTATTCCTGGAAATTTACGATAGATGTCTTCATTCTTTATGAATGTTAGAAATATTCAGGCCTTATCATTAATTTCTATCTGCCGAGTTCATTAGGGATCGACACTTTTTAAATGGTGCTTAGATTTCCCGAATTATACAGTCATTTTTCATGCATTTCTTTTAGGAACTAGCTGGATGTAATTTTTAATGTTTTCCATGTTTTTGCGGGTGATTTTACATTATTTAAATTTTTCAGCATCATAACATAATTTACAATAATATTTAAAAATTGTTAATTAATAATCTGTTGTTCACTCTACACATATACATACATTTACGCCACCGTGATTTGTTTCAAATTTCGCTATTTCAAGTGCCTAATTTCCATTGATTGCGTAATCAATGGAAATTTGAACAAGATCGGGAAATCACCTGTTGTACGTGTAAGGTGCATATGGGTTTACCTTCAAGCATACCGCATGTAAATAGTAAGGTGCACATTTTACGATGTACACGGAGACAGAGACGTCGCATCTGTCTGTCTAAATTTCGACGTCTGGAAGACCAAATATATTGAGGCTGTGTCCCAATAAGTCTCCAATATACTTAAAAATATTGCCGGTGTCTACCAAAAAAATTTTCGTTTCAATGGAAAATTGTCCCGGGGAGTAAGGCATGTGTGATGAGCGGCTGAAATATTTTAAGCTAAGGATAAACTGCTTCCCAGGTTAACCTGAACCAACGAGTTTACCTACCAACGAGGGGTTACCTACAATTTTTTCTTAATTTATGTAACGGATAAAAGGTTCACCCGAAGTTGTGACTTGCAAAACCTAATAACGCAAGCTTAGTATCAAATGAGGGAGTCACTGTGTTTCGTTTCGTTTTGATTGTTCGAAGAAATTGTGCATCTGTTGAAGCATAAATAATGGGATTGTATCAAGGTCAATGGTTACTTGTTATCTTCAGATTGTGTAGGCAAATTTCATTTTCTAAACCAAAATATTATTACAATGGTAGCAGGTTAGCTCGGCTTTGCTCGGGCTCGATAATTCTTGAAATTTTACTAGTTTACCATTTTAATATGGTTTTATTATAAGAATAATCTAGTTAGGGTCACTTAAACTAAATTTTCCAACACCAATTACAGACCAAATTTTCAACTGCTGATTCAATCCTTTCATCTTGTCCTCTTATCTTTCAATAAACTTTGAGGCGTTGGGAATATGACGACACGATAAAAATCCTGGATACGCGCCCCAACAGCTCCCACATATTTGTGGCGTCAGCCTTCAAACACACAACCCAACTCTTACAAATGTATATAAGCTAGGAAATTATATCAACCTCATGCATATTATAGGAATAATATGTCATTAGCTTCTCATTAGTTGTAATCTCTTGAAGAAATATCTACATTACTTCATAAACTTTGAAGCGAGATTCTAATGAGTAATAGTTATTACGTTTTCACGCATCTCAGAAATAATTCAATGCAGAGAGTAAATTGATTATTTCAATTGTTATAGCTACGGACACGGGATAAGATGTTTGTGGAGATCGGATTATTCCTTTTATTGGTGTTGGTGTACGCGGTGCTGCGGGACAGGCGCCCCCGCAACTGCCCCCCTGGTGAGTCCTGCCATGTAAACCTGTAAGTATTCAACAGATATTAACTGTCCATCTTGTGATTTGATATATTTTCAATATATTTTCGCTGAAATATGGAACAAATTCGTTTTCAAATACTATATACGTATATTCATAATCTACTTTTTTTGCAGCCTCATTCAGTAATAATACAGGGATTTATTTCCTCGAGCACATACGCCGCCCAATTCTGACTTGTAATATTTATATTGCAGGTCCTGTAGAGATCCCCTTCTTCGGGCGACTCCCGTTTTTCGATGAAAAAATCGGTGAAAATTTACGAAAGAAATACGGTGACATTGTCTCGTTAGTATTATTAATCTAAACTACATGCAATTATCGGCATTTAAAATTAGGCTGATCATAATCATTATTTCTGCTATTAACATATCCTCCAGATATTATCAATTACAGTCCGAGAACATAACTCATGCAGGAATAAGGCTATAACATGTGTAGCACATTGATCCGGTAGAATTTTCTAAGATTGTTTTAGTCCTCGGTCGGATAATAATATAACAAAATAAATTTTAGGATAAGAATAGAAAGCCTTCAATTTTAAATGAAATTAATTGTAAATTTTAAGAACTAATTTTTCAAATTCAAATTTATTTAGAAGAAAATAACGTTACAACTGGTCATGGACATGCTGCTGTAAAATAACAGATGATTTGAATCACTAGGCATCGCACTGGACCCTTGCGGTCTGTCTACCTGTTCGACTACAGCACCGCTAAGGAGGCCATGGCGAGACTCGAGTTCGCCGACCGACCTGACACTTTCTCCGCCTTCAACGTAGATGACCAGAAAATTGGAGGTTTATATTTCGTAAATATTTATACATAACCGTGACTTAGCTCGGTAAATTTATTAATTTTTTAACTCTTTGAACAATATAGTTATTGATAATAAAACAGTATCGTTTGTACTATATCCACCGAGCAGAATTTTTTTAGACTAACGTGTCAGTAGGCGTAACTATGAAATAATTTCATTACGTATAAAAGTTTGAATGATGATTTTGTGAGCTGATTCTGAGTGTGTGTAAGAAGGTTGTTGGTTTGCCAGTTTGCCAAATAGGAAGTCTTTGCCTCTGAACGAAAATGGTAGATATTGATCTTCCATCTGTACTCCACCAGGCGTCCTTGGCAGCAACGGTGCCCATTGGCAGCACGACCGACGCTTTGTGCTGCGCAACCTCCGCAACCTCGGTGAGACATGAGCATTTGTTTTACGCAATAATATCCTGTTTGCAGCACACATAGGTTTTTTGTTATTACGTTAATTATGGACGATACACGGTCAATCTTATTATATTCTACACTTAATTCTCGAGGCATGGGCAAGAGTTACCTGGAGGAGGCCATCAACATCGAAGCCAAGGCGCTGGTGGAAGACCTCAAGAAGTACGGCGGTGAAGCCATCAACTACCCCGACAGCTTCAGGACTGTGGCGCTCAACATCATCTGGCAGATGGTGGCCAGTGAGTTAATGTATTCATTCAATCTGCATTAATATAAAATCATCTGTATTAAAAGCGTATTGATGCACAATAAAGCATTGAGTAAGTCAGCAGCTTTTTCTGTACGACACTTAACTGTCCTGCATTCGCTCATAAGCATTCAACGACTGAAATCTAAATGAAAATCTACTCTTTTCAGGTACGCGGTACGACCTGCGCTGCAAAGACGTTGAATGCATTTACCGCCTGACAAATGAATTTCGGGAGAAGTTCACAGTTTTGTCGTTATTGCCTTCGTTCATCCCGGCGTTGGGTCTTCTGCCCAAGTCTTTAAGACATTTTCTTTTTGGTGATGACGTTATCGACCGCTTCGCCGAAGAAATGATAAATGTCGTGAATGTTAGTTAATTTTTTCAATGAACTGCTTGACAAGAATAAAACGTTTAATCATTACAGCTCCGACGCTCTGCATTTGCTGATATTTCGTATCATTTTTATTGTAAAGGAGAGTATCGAACATTATTTTTTTGGTCCATGGACCTAAAATCGAATTCGAGAAAGTTAATCTCCACAAGCCCTTTAGTCCAATACAAGAATTTAACGTCGTCCAGAAAAAAAAACACATCTTCGTTTGGGAGCCCCTACAATCTGTAATGATGCATATGTGCCCCCAGAAATGTATTGCTCCTAGACGGAGTGGTGCATGTGTGAACCATACCAGTTATGCCAACACTTATGTATATAATATACTCGCATTGTTTTACTACATAAATAAGCGCAAAAATGATAAGGTGTGAAATTTGTCTCGTGCTGTGCAATTGACTTACCATGTGCAATTCAGTTTTCAATGTGTTAAACTTGATCTATGGTCAAAATTAATTTGCCCGTCTATCCCTTTTGCAAGGAAGCTGTAGACAAGCACCTGGAGGACTATGACCCCGACAAACCCCGGGACCTCATAGACGAGTACATCAAAGACATGAAGGAGAGCGAAGGAGACGACAACTCCCTCTTCAGGAGAGGAGGTGGGGAACCTCATATTGATGTAGATCGCATTAGTTGCGTTCGATGAAACGCGTGGTTCTACTAATTATTCAGTTCACATTGTGGCGAGCCTGATGTTGGACTTGCATGGTACGCAATGCGTCCCAGTTTTTCAACCGCCGCACATCTCCCAACGCGACTGGATGGTAAAATGTGCATGCGAACCTGTCCTCGGTAGAAGCTGCTCATTATTCGTCAGACTGGCTCCAACATAACCGCCTTATTGTCGAGGTTCTGCGTACACGATCTTTATATTGTACTACTGATTGTTGCCATTCCTTGTACTTTAGTCGTGTCTTATAAAAGTCTCCAGCCTATCTTTAACGTTGCCAAGATTGTGGCAAGTATCCAGTAAATTGTTCTGCTGGATCGTAGAATTTAACGAAGATCGTTGTATCCAACTGAAGTTGATGGAGTTGCCACGTTGCTTCCGGAGTGGGACATATCAGGGATGCCAAATGGCCCAAAAAACGGCCAAGTCCGTAAATAAAAAAGGCCTATAACTCAATATTTAATAGTGTATTTGTAGGTTCCGGTGTAAAAATTCAATTTTTTGCAGCTTTTTAAATTTAATTCGGAAGCATTCCTAGCATAAATTTTAGTAGGCCAACGCACTTAAAAAAAACTAAATCCCGGAATTTGTCCGAAAAAACCGTCAGGCAAACCCCGTTTCAAAATAGTACAAAAATTGAAATAATAGTACAAAATTAAGCAATCGGACTCATGTTGTTATAATTCTGCACAATTCATCTTTCGGCTGGAAATACTTCCTCAATTTTTCTAATCATCCACGTACCGTAGGGCCCCACTGACAGGAACCCTGCGAAGCTTAAATGTAGCCCGTTGTCCCGTTACAATATGATAAATTTATACTAGTAAGAATAAACTTAACAAAGATTGACTGCATATGTTGAAATGAAGTAAATTTATGGTAAGTAATCAATATGAATCATCATAATGAGTCACGTCACATTTCAGCTCTGAATCAAATCATCAATGAACTCTTCTTCGCGGGCTCCGACACCGTGCATAGCATGATGAAGTGGGTGGCCTACCTGCTCGCCCGGTATCCAGAGTACGCAACGAGGATGCAGCAGCAAATAGACGCCGTCGTGCCCAGGGACCGCATGGTGTCGCTCGACGATAAACCGAAGTACTTTAGTAAACCTATTTAACATATCATTTTTTATTTTCGCATCAAATCATTGTTTGTTGTATTCTACTGGATCAAAACCGAGTTTGCTTGACAAAAAGTTATTGATGCTCGAAGTTCACTGAGAAGTCACACATGCTGGTGTTTTTTGCAGTTCTTACAACACTTCACTTTAATTTCACTTTTGCTTGTCTGCTACAAATCTCATAATCGACATTCAACACACTTCTACCTGTCCAATCGATCTTAAATTTTGCACACTTGCATAAAGTCGGAGACAATGCATGTGATTGACAGAATAAATAATTTAAAAAAATTAATTTTTTGGCATATTAAAATAATATATGAAAATAAGTTTTTCTTAAAATTTAAAGATAAAACTAGAAACTCATTGTACATGTGAAACATAGGAGACACTGGGCTTTTCAGAAGAGTTGCCTGTAAGAAGTAATTTTTAATCTTATGTTTTTACCTCTACAGTCTTTGGTTCACTTTAATGTAGATATGATCATGATATTGAATTCGTATTTCAATACTTCTTCTGCAGAAATTTTTTACTTCATATCTCGAAAATTGAGCACCACAATTTCTATTTCAAATTTAGAATGCAGTATTTTTCTTTTCATAATTAATTGCTTCTTGAACTAAGATACTAACTTGAAATAACAGCAGTTAAATGAAACCTTGCTTTTGTCTTACAGCTTGCCTCTAATTGAGGCTTTCACAGTTGAAGCTCTACGGTATTCATCAATGCTTGTGTTCAACATTCAGAGGTCCGCTACCCGCAACACAAACATCAACGGTTACTTCATACCCAAGGTTTGTTGACCATGAGATTTTACCAGGATCCTATCATACTGTTAGACTAGGATCCTATTTGTATATTCATGTTCTTAAAACACTCTTCACAATAGTAGAATAAAGCATCTAATAATAATTTATCAATGGCTTTAATCTTCTTTTACAATGTTGTATAGAAAGCGATTTTTCAAATAAGTAAAATAACAATACGCGTGAACACCTCAAGCTAATAACAGCTGAATTATTCTAGGTTTCTGAGGAAAAAATCGTGAGGCGGACGTTTTTAGGCACCGCACGTTTTCCTTTTAATTACAGGGAACAATAGTGTCTGTGGCGAACTACTCCATCCACCACGACCCGCGGTACTGGGACGACCCCCACAAGTTCTACCCTGAACGATTCCTGGACGACAGCGCCACCAAGTACACGGCCCCCAAGCAGGGCTTCTTTGCCTTCGGTTCTGGTGAGTGAGGCCTTGAACTAAGCTTAGCTTGAACTCAACTGACCCTTCTGAGCAGGGTC